TATTTAGATGATATCGCAGTTTGAATGTGTGTACAGAAACATTATATCGGAGTTCGCTGATGTAGAAATCTTTCTCATCTCGTTAGATAGTCTGATAGTTGAGTGTCTTGCACATTCGTACCATGATTGGACTCTTGCAGGACAATCAATTGTTCTTACCAAGCAGGTAGGGTAGCTCTGATGTTGCTTAAACATCACTCTTACAAGAATTGCTTGTTTTTACGTCTATTTGTTCAGATTGATAGATTCCTTCAACAGTTTGTAAATTTTGGTGGAAAGTTCAAATTGGTGGTTTTCACTGACTTTGCATCGATGTTTGCTCGTGATACCACACTGGGTTTTGCCCGTGCTACAGCGATTGCTCATATCTCTACTGGTCCCTTTGCTAAGGTAATTTTTGGTACATTGCGCACTACCTACATTTACCGTTACTGTTCTAGGATTTGGTATACTTTTCTAGTCCTGTCGACCCTAACTGGGCACAGTTTCTCCACGATTTGACTCCTTCATTTTTAGTGAGTTCATTTTGATTATTTGTAACCTAACAATGATTTATCACTTCGCTCAAAAGATGTTCATTTAAGATGATCTCTACCGATAATGTGACAACAGAGGCTTGTGCACAGGAGGATCTGGATATCACTCCTCAACTGGAAACTATAGGTGCGGGTTTGTTAGATTTTTGCCGCCCAAGCATTTTTATAAAGTCATATTGAATTGTGTTTTTTGCTGTCACCTAACAGCACACCGTTTTAGTGCTTGATGCGTTATCCCAAGCCATACCGGTCGTACTGTTGACATCAGTTGTTGTAAACTTTTCATCTGTGTTCGGGTACTACATCAATCCACGATTATGCGTTAAATACAACTGGGAGAGCTTTGCGGCAGCGCATTGGGAGTGTAATAGTGAGTTGGACCTTGAGTATCAATACTACTGCTCACAGTTCGTAACTTTTCCAGGTCTTTTGCTAAAAATGAGCAAATCACCCACTGAAGATGCTTCTTCTGTCAAATCTGTTGCCGATCTGTGGACGCGCATCATCCTTGCAGCAAAAAAGAGGTGCCCTCGGTATTCCTGTTATTTCCGTCTTGTCTTATGTTTTTTACTGTGATTACTGTTATTCTTCCCTTCCAGCGATTCACCCTCCGAGCATTTTGAATCTCTCTGTTGTGCTGTCATCCTTTCTACTCTGATTGCTAGCAAACGTGGTCCATCACGGGTTTACCCACCAGAAAAGAAGGGTGCCAAGAGAGGCTTAGACGTTATTAAGGATAGGCGTTTATTGCTCACTACAGCAACTATGTTCTTGGAAAAGTTGAATTTTGCGGTCAGCCCTTTTCTGAACTATTTATTCAAACAAACTTGATTCAAACTTTTTTTGATACTTTCAGACCGTAAAGTTCTCCTTTGCCGACTTTTGGGACGGTCGAATGGTTATTGGCTGTTTTGACTCCATTTGTGCCAAAGAACCTGTGAGTGTTTTGATTTTTTCCATAGAGCATAATCTCAAATCAAATGCTCAGATTCTACCCTATCGTATACAAGAAGACTTCGCTCGTTTGCACAACGCAGCTGCTCTCACCAAACCCATCCCCACTGACACTGCGGAGAAACTGTTTGATCCAATACCAGAGGTCATCTCAAATTTTGCTTGTCATTATGCTATTTTTTCATCTCTTTTCCAACTTAAGGTCCCAAATCCATTGTCATTGCTTCCGCTTCTATATACAGTAAAATCGCCGTTGGTCGACAAATATAT